CTAATTCTGTTTCTTCGCTTCTGCAGCTACAGCACGGTACAATTTTAGATTATTATTCAACCACAGACACTCGAGCACAGACTTGTACAATTAAGTCATCTTAAAGTAAGCATATAAAATAATTTCAAATTACCTAGGAAGCTCGCATCGTGTATATTGCAAAATCTAAGCCAAACAACGACTATTGTAAATTGGTATTTCTTATAACTAGGTATACAACTTAAGGATTTTGCACGACATGCCACACGCTCATTCTAACACAATCAAGACTAAAATGTGATTCTACTAAGAGTTACGGCGATAGTTATCTGGCTTGTCGTACTAAAATCTAATAATCTAAATACGAAACCTTGTTTCAGTAGCAAGGCTATAAGACCAGATGAACTATGACTTTTTAAGCATTCTACACTCGCCGTTACGTAAAAAATAATATGCTTCTAAAACGTTTGAAAGGAAATTAATACTTAATAACTTTTAATGGCGCATTTACACCGAGTCGTCTGCCGCCTTTGGCAAACTACTTCGGCAACCGAAGGCGACGCAGTAGACTCGCGTTTACACCGCTTTGGCAGACTGCTTCGCTTTGTCGGCTGCGAACTACGGTCGTCTGACGACTCACTATTTACACCGGGTAGTTTGCCGCCTACGGGGGGTAAGCGACAATCGCCTGTAGACCTGGCATAAAGGTGCTATAAGTACTGTTCAAACTGAACTAATTTCTCATTGGTTCGAATTGTAATTACAAGTGATGCAACAGACCTCCGTTTCTGCTTCCGCAACTTTTATCGGAAGTTTATAAAGTTTGCTATGGATCAGGCGCGCGCGTCTATTTTTTTGTGGTGGGGCGCGTTGGGAATGTTAGCAGTTTTGTGTTGTGTTAAGTGCATTTATGAAATCAAATAACCCTGTCCTGTTGTGAACTATTTCGTTGAGATATTTATAATATTTACGCTTTCGCATATGCTTCCGTTTCCGCTGAGACTTACTTTTCACATCTGTTTCCGTTATGTATGACACTTTCGTTGCATCACTAGTAATTACCTCGATATGGAGTTCTGTACATGAGTCGCATCAGCGTGGAGAACTTACAATAATTTACATTGCCGAGGAATGTTATGAAAGCGAATTTTCGTAACGTAATTGTAACGTACAAACTGTAGTAAGATTATTTACTCGCTGCAGACTCGGCCATAAGTTATAGAAGCGGGACTGCGATATTACGCTCTCTTTCCACTTGCTTAGTGTTGAGCATACGACACATGCACAAGCCCGTTATCGATAAAAACCATTTCAGTTTCAATATCGCAACCTTTTTTATTTTAATACTATTTGTTATCAATCAAGCGTTGCAATTTTTATCGGAAAGTAAAGATCCTCAGAATAGAAGTATTAATTACTCACGCCTTTAGGACTTTACAGGTTTTAGGTTCTTAATATTGTAAATTTATATACTTAATTTGTATTTTTTTTATTTTTTTTTATTTCAGTTCCTACTTTTCATTATTACAACAAAATTAAACGCCATCTATATCAACGGCATTTATCAACTGCAGTATTGTATTGCCCTGCGCTTGCATTGGCGCAATATCGCTGTCTCGCTCTTATGGCCGAGTCTGCAGCGAGAAAATACTCTTACTATAGATACGATACAGTAGCTATAAGAATGCCCCAAATTGCGCGAAAATTCTTCGGAAAAGATGCGACCTGTTTGTTTACAAAATTCGGTTTTACATCATTACGCGGAAATGTAAATTGAGCTGTATTGTTTAGCGATTCATTGATGGACACTTTAAATGCGCAAATCCGTTTAAACTTCAATTCTTCAGATTATTCTCGTATTATAGAATTTCTAATAGTAAAATAAAAAAATTACAGTCATCAATGTTTAAACAAAAGGAATACAAACATACTTTAAGTACATACAGCATGTTCAAAAAATGCTTTTAAAGAATATTTTTCTTAGATTTTAAGACTTATTTACTAAATGATTATCACTTATTACAATAGCAATATTAAAAACAAAAATGTTGAAATTTTTAAAGAAAAGCCAAGTCAAAAGTGACCTAAAGTAAAGTGTATGTATGTATTACGTCCAACTTCAGTTTCACGTGTAGATACAATAAGTGTATTTTATCGGAAAACAAGTGAGTGACAATGGTAACTCCGCACATTGGGGCTACATCAATCCATCCAATCCATACAAGGTAGTGCTCAAAACTTAAATTTCAAAATGTCGGTATTTAAATATATATATACGCGTAGTCATAATAAAATATCACATCGCTCGTAAAAATATTGAGACGCTAACTGTACTGTGTCAGTTGTGAAGCTCAAAGTTTCGTCTTTATGCTAAATAATAATTTATTTAAGCCTTTTACAAATAATTGTGTATAACTAAATAAGTGCTAGTTTACGATGTATGGCTTGTTAGTACTTGACATAGATTGAAAGTCAGTGGTTCGGATATTTAATAAGAGTACAAGCATATTTATGGTATGGTATAGGCACTATTACAGAAAGAAAAAACAAACAAAAGACTCATGGTTAGTATTTATACATAATGGATGTAATAAGGTGAAGGTGAGAGAGTAAAAGTGCGTGTGTGCGTGCGTTGGAAGTGTGTGTATGTGAGCGTTACCTATGTAGAGTTTTAATTGGATACGAGTGACGTAAAACGAGCTACACTAATATTTGTAGTTTCATCGTAATCAACTGGTAATAATAAATAATAATTATTCCGTGAGCTTTATGTGCAATCTTTAGACATTTATTTCTTACGTTTCATATTATAATCGATTTAAGTGCATTATGTCAGTGACTAAGAAAGGAATGTTGAGTCTCCTAACACTATTGTTATTTCATTAAGTTTATCGGTATCTGATACACGACTAATAATTTCTTAACTTTGAGCTGGTGCACTTCACAACTGACAGTAGTTAACGACTCAATATTATTACGACTACACTAATATATATTTATTGAAATACATTTTGAAAATTGAATTTTGAGCGTTACCTTGTATGGGCGGGTCCCAGCGAAAGATGGCGGATAGACATGTTTGTTCTTACATACATCGTGGACTAAAGGCTCCTTAGAACACTTATTATTTAACTGCCCCCAAATAAGCGTCCCACTTTATGACCTCCATCCCAAAACACATTCCAATGAATATCAATTATTTTCTCGGCAACGTCCACTCCCCAGTAATATTCATTATATTTCAAGGTGACGCGTTACTTCCCACGGGACAGTTGCTTCAGCTGCACCAAGCACAAGTGTATGGAGTACTACTGCCACTTATGGGATGGCTCTGCTAAATACGACCTGGCCACCTTGGATTCAATCGACAAGAGTGCCAAGAAGATAGGTGGCTCGGAATTAGTCGAGGCTAAACTGCAGAGCCTTGAACACCGCCGTAAAGTTGCCAGCGTATCGGTGTTCTACAGGATATATCACGGAGAGTGTGCGATGGAATTGCATAATTTGATTCCGCCTTCCCCTTTCCATCATTGGGGGACTAGAATTGGGCTGGGGTTCCACCCCTATGTTGTGGATATTCCTAGGGTTCGCACGAAGCGCTTCGCTTCCACATTTATATGGCGAGCGGCTAGAAAGTGGAATTCACTGCCAGCAGACTTATTCTTCGAACACTATAATTTGGACCTTTTCAATATGAGAGTGAAAAGGCGATATTTAGGTGTGCATCTCACATATATAATAATAAGTCATGGTAAGAAAATTGTATCCAGTGCTAATCATTTACTGTTGTACTTACTTATAATAATAATAATATAAAATGTAATTATTTTTATTTCCATATTATTTCAATTCCCTTCGTTTGTCAAAAAGCTACAACTTTCGAGTTATAAAAATTTTGTTAAAAATAATTTATTATTATTATATTGCTATTTGGTATTTACAATAATCTGTTCTAACGCCCTTTATTTGTGTTGCATATATTAAATGTGCTTTTCTTTATGATCTTAAAGTGTATGACCTCGTACGTGGTTTCTATGTAATTTTTCAAAACGAAGATGAAAATGTAGTCTAAAGGCATAATAATTATTATTGTTACAAAGATTGAACAAACACAAAACAAAAATTTCTTCGATCTGTCAGATGGTAGAAACGTCTCTCACATAATTTTGACTAAAAGGGCCGTTACATGCTTGAATTTTCTTCAATGATTTTTAAGTTTTATTTATTGTCCGTTCACTTTTACTTTTACAAAAATTTTTACCAAAAAGCTTTTTGTTAATCCTTTGTTTCACGAAGGCACATGCCAATGCGAGCTGGATTTTTATAGACCAACTGAAATGTTAATACTGTAAGTCTATACTGAATCAAACCAGTTTACGTTGACACTTGTTGAAGTCCTTCGTAATACGGTTTTATTTAACCAGATTATCTTGAGCTATGGTACATAGGCTTTCGAAACTGCGGACCTCATAATAGTGCAGTATAAAGTAGCTCACTTGTTTCTAACTATCACAGAATACTTTATAAGAATAAAATTACTGCTTTAAATATTACTTAATTTTGATTTTGATTATAAAAAAAATATCGATTGACTACTCCAAACGGGATAGATAGGACTATACAAAAATATATTTATACCAATACGCACACATTATTGCTTGGCGACAGAAAATATATTTACGGATTTTTTTAATATCATTTTTATATAAAATGAATGTAATAAATTACCGTATAGAAATAGATCGATCACTGTAATGAAAGAGATGTACCATTTTAATGAAAAAGATAGATTACAGTAATGGAAGAGATAGATTAACAAAAAAGTTTCACGTTATAACAGCGCCATAGGACTCGCAACGTGTTTAAAAAATCGGTTGGCGGCCGTGTCGATCTCCTCGGCTTTGGAAGCGTTAGAAACCTGCTATTTGATGTTTTGGTAAACAATGTAGGAACGAAATAAATTGGATCACCATAATCCTTTGATTGGAATTGGACCGGAGGCAATAGATCTCTTTAGATCTATTGCCTCCGTTAGTTGAAAGGGTGTTTGTGACAAAAACTCTAAACCGAGAAATTTAAAGAAATTAAATTAGAAAATAATCCACTTTCCTCTTACGGTAATTTCATACCTTATCCACCTAGGAAAAAATAAAAATACAGTCAGATCTGCCTTTTCTTACTGATGACGGCAGTATATATATAAGTTTTTTCAACTAACGGCGGCAGTCTTAATGAACGAGACCGGTCACACTAATGAAAAAGATAGATCGCCGCAATGATAGAGATAGATTAACACAAACGTTTTACGTCATAACAATAGCAATATGAGCTATAGTTACTAAAGTTTTCCCACTATGGATGACCTAAGGGACTACTCTCGAAGTCCATCAACGAAAAGACGGGCCCGTGCGAAACTCTCAAATCGCGTTATCATATATGCTTAGTTCTAGTCCCGACCGAAACAAATCTGTAGGGCATCCATAGTGGGAAAACGACCGCAACTATGGGTTTCGTTGAAACACGAAGTACACTAGAACCCTGATACGTGTTTAAAAAATCAGGTGGGAGCTGTGTCGATCTCCTTGGCGTTAGAAACCTACAATTTCTTAGCTAACCATATTATAATACGGTTTGACAGTAGGCAGTGTATTTAAGGTTGAATTTCTTTGTCATCTGTCATCCTCTACCATCCCATTTCGAATAGTCAAATATAATTAATATATAATAAAAAAAAAATATTGTCCCATAGACAATTTAAAAATCTTAGGAGCAAAAACTAAAAATCTACTTTCAAAATAAACAATTTGACTCGAATGCTTTTACTTTACGACGGATGACTTTTCGGCTGTGGTGTGACGTCATAGCAGGAGTTGTTTTGGGAAAAGATTCATCGATGCGTAATCCTCCAACACCTGGAATAATAAATTAGTCCTGTTAACAGCACATCGAGCTACACCTACATACATTTTTGTACGAATATCGCCTCGAGGACAACGGAACAAGATCCGACATGCGTAGCTTGACATGCTGCCGTCCGTACAAAGCACTAATTTGAAAATGAAGAACCATTTACAGTGTGTGATAGAAAAGTCCTGACTACACAGCCGCGCTGCCGCTACCGGTGAATGTGATCGGCATAAAATCAGCGTGGGGATTTATTTTATTTGAATGAAGTATTAGCGTTTCTTTTCGTATTATAAAGTCTTGTACTTTACAAGGCAACGTATTCCTGGATAAGCACTTTGGTTCCTTATCGTATTTGGATTCGCTTTGCACCGACCTGTAATAGGGTGTCGACTGTTGGTTTTGGGAAGTCAAGACTCAGAACTTTTCTCAAGCGGCTACTGTCGAGACACAGCTGTTTGTTAAGCAGCAGTTCTACCCCAACACTCGGCTCCAGCGGTGTGTGCTCCAGATTGTACTTGCGGCAGATGTCTGCCCATGCTGTGAGGTGCTTGTCGTTCGCTTCTTCTGCTACTGATGTTATGTCGTTCTGAAATATGCAATATTAATTACAGCTGTGATTATCAATAGTCCACATAGTACACACATTTAACGGAACAACAGTAAAGGGATATTAAAAAATAATAAGGTTATATTTCAATAATTTGTAGTAGCAGTACAGGTCCTTGTAAAAGAGTTCGTCTAGGGAAGTACTGCCACCTGACCTATTTCTGCCGCTGAGCAGTAATGTCAGCGTTACTGTGTTCCGGTCTTGAAGGGTAAGGGTGCTGGTGAAATTATAGGCACATGAGACTTGTCAACTTACGTCTCAGGGTGACGGGCATAACGCTTGGAGAGTGGCACTGCAAGTGTAATGGACAGGCATGTAGCTTACCATCAGGCGCCTGAATTGTTCGTTCCGTTACTTGAAATTATAAAAAAAAATGTTTAAACAAGTGTCCACTCAATGCATTCCTTGCCTAAGTCACACTGGTATTATTATTAACATATTCAGCAGCAGTAGAGCTTCTTGTGAAAGAGTTCCAGGTACCAGGTGCCTTACCTATCATGATATTATATAATCTCAGTACAGAGTACTAAAAAAACCGACCTCAAAAGTACGTCGAATTACGTCTATTTGCTAAGTTTCATTGAAATATCCCCTAGTTCGCCACTATACAGGACTTGATACTGGAGATAATAAAAATAGGTTCTCACTACGACACTACTCAAAGTATATCGAGGGAAAAACGCCTTGAATTGGAGAAATAGCAAAATCAACTAAATAATTGCTAAAAGTAATTGCTCCTAAATTAAAGTTAGGCGCTATTTATAAAAATGAATCTTCATGCGTGAACAAGGAACCCTTTGAGGCGGATGATTTTCTTCAAAATGAAATTGGACCACTATGGAAATACTCCCTTTCCAACAAAAAAGAATCATGAAAATCGGTTCACAAATACCGGAGCTATCGCGTAACATACATACAAAAAAAAAACACCAAAAAAAGAACATACAGTCGAATTGAAAACCTCCTCCTTTTTTGAAGTCGGTTAAAAAAGAAATAATAAGAATTGGAGGATAAATTAGCAATTAAATTTTTATATAAAGTGCAGTGGTAGCCTAATGGTTCAACCTGCTACCTACCGACTACCAACTACGTATCGCCTCTCCAACAGAGGTCGCGGGTTCGATACTTTTTCTCGAAATTATGAGCGAAATTTAACACGAGCTTTGCGGTGAAGGAAAACAACGTGATGAAACCTGTGCTTCGAAGAAGGTTCACAAGCTTCGGAAAACGTGTAAGTCCCCAACCCGCATTAGGCCACGCACCGTGGCGGACGATGACCTTAAACCTAGTCTGAAATCCGTGCCCAGCAGTGAGACGTATGAAAATGGTTGATGATGATGACGACAAGTTTCAAACCACAGTTTGAGGTTTATTTTCGTATTTTATTTTTTCTTTTTATTTTTGAATAATAATAATAATATCGTTTATTGCAAAACATGTTACATTAGGTCTTATAGTAGTTGGTAAAGTATCAAACATGTACCCTGTAAGGGCGTAGCAATGTAAATTTTTAACATAATTATTAATCATAATATTATTACCATGAAAATAAATAAATCTAAGCAAATATATTCAGAAAGTCGAATGATTTAATTTTAAAATGATTGCCAAATTTAAATTTAAGGTATTTAAAAAAAATCAATTTATTTCTTAATAATTAATCAATTAAACATTAATTACTTATTAATTAATCGTCAAATTATCTTAGTATTTTATAATAATACTTACATTTGTTAATTAAATCTTCGTAATAATTGGGTTTATTTACTCCTTGATATTATTATTCTGCATTTATTTTATTAAATTACGTAATCATAATATCATATTTATTTATATCATATTATATTATAACACAGATAACATATTAACATTACATTTTTTTATAACCGTATGAACAATTTTTTTCGTCATTAAAAACTCCTGCAATGAGTAGTAGCATTTTTGGGACAGCTGTTTATACTAAGTTGATTTTTAAACATTTTTACGCTATTTATCAATTTGAAAAAGTCAGAAAATTTTAATTGACATAGAATACGGATCCAAGTTGACCATTTGCAGTTTTGAAACTGTTGTTACTAGCCTGCATTTGGGTCTTAATTTTTCTGAACGACAATACAGAGGATATGCATCCAAATTATTCTTGACAATAAGACACATTTGTAAAATATATATACACGTTAAAGTCAAGATATTATATTTGATGAAATACGATTGGCAGCCGGTAAACGAGTCTATATTGGCGAGTATGCGAATACATTTCTTCTGTAACGCAAAAGCTATTTTCGCGTCAGTGCTGTTGCCCCACAACGCAACACCATAGCTAAGTCAGGCATGAGCATACGCGTAGTAAGCGCTAGTTGCTGTCTTAAGGTCAGTCGATTTTTTTAGTTCGTTCAGAGCATATTTAAACTTGACAATTTACGAACAACTTTTATTTACATGATCCTTCCAATTTAAATTGATGTCGATATGTATTCTTAGGAGACAAAGGGAGTTTACAGAATCAAGCAGAACGTTGTTAAATTTATAAATTAAGTTTATAGGGCGTTTTTGATAAGGTCTGAACTGCATTAATTTAGTTTTAGTAAAATTAACTTCTGGGTTATGGTCATTAAGCTAGCTTGTTATTAATTTCAAATTTAAATTCAAAAGTTCGTGAAATTGTGTAGTATTAGGGCAAGGTAGAATCATCGAAATGTCGTCGGCGAAGAGAATACAAGGAATATCAAATTGATTGGGCAAGTCGTTGATTTAAATTAAAAACAGCAAATATCCAAGGACGCTACTCTGGGGGATAGACCGACTTAATATTATTTTGTCAGACCTGACACCCCTAATAAATCCCGTCCTATGGTCATAGAATTCAACGTCGACGAATTGCATTGCGTTGCCTTAAATATGACACTAACCAATTATAAGCTGCACCCCTCACGCCTTTGTCATAAAGCTTGTTTAGCAAAGCAAAATTGGATATAGAACCATGTCATAAGCCTTGCTCATATCCAATAGGATCCCAATTGCATATTGTTTGTCATTAATTATTTTCGTTATTTCGTTGACGTAATTATAAATAGCAAGACACGTAGAACGTCCCGTTCGAAAACCGTATTGCTATTGTTAAATATTGCATATTTCTCACAAAACGAATAAACTCTATTGTACATAATGGTCTCAAAAATTTTGAAAAACGGAGTGCTATTGGACGATAATTATCACAACAAGTCCTATCGCTTTTTTTGTTCAGGGGCTTTACAACTGTTATTTTTAGTAGTTCTGGAAAACTCCTACCGTAAGTGACTCTATCATATGATATATATGTGATAGGTGATATCTTTAGACCTTTTGTTAACCAGGTTTTCCGTTTTTTGTTAATTAATTTAATACGATTTATAGAAATTGTGGTGTTGAGTATTTGTTGAATTTTATTATGAAATGCATTGAAGTTTGGATTTACATTTTCACTTTGTTTTATTAAATTGTCGCATTTTACTTTTTCCAGTTCAGATTTAAAGCAATGGTTTTTCCATTAAATGATCTTTTGTCTATGTACCATTGTCAACCATTGTGAATCGTCAACCAGTGACGAATCCGAAATATCGGGAACATAAAAAGAATTTCTACCGTAGTAAGAAGCTTGTCATTAGTGGTAATAATTTAGTGAATAACCATGAAAGTCTTAAATCTATCGACACCCATAGATGATGCGCCGCGGATGTGGACCCGCGAGAGGGGCAGAGGGTCGCGGGGTGCGACGCGGTTAACGCCGCTAACTAGTTCTGTATTCGTATATAGGTAATTTAGGGAGGTAATTTATTTGTCTACACTCATAGTATATAGCATAATTATCATTAACAAATACAAAAGGCAGTTGTTGCAAAATTAGCAAAAAATGGCAAAACGGGGTATTATCAAACTGGTCTGATAATATCGGGTAGTATAGCATCCAAAAAGCATCAATTCCAAAGTTTATTGGAATTCATTAAATGTTACACATAGGTGGCACTATAAGTTTTCGGAACTGGCCACTTACACAAACAATACTTATTCTTATTCTATACTTATTCGTTCGATCGCCGTCCGCGTTGAACACACTGTATCAACTTTGTTATTTAATTCTATTTTTTATTATACAAGTTGAACCTTTACATTTTTCTTATTTATGTCATCCCCTGCGCTGACAATGGGGAATATCTTCCTGAGATAATAAAATGTATAAAACTGATCCCAATCTATTTTTATCATATAAGAATTATTATTCTTAGACATCGATAACTAATATGATTTCTAAATAACCGAGGCGAATAACCTCATACATATGTACACCGTAAGCTTAAAAGTAAAACCACATAGGTGACATTTTTTAAAAGAAAAAAATAACTTTAGATGGCAATAACTCGATTACCAATGTGCAAATGCGTTCTTTATGACAACGAGGGCAGTGTTGTTAAGCCTAATATAGTAGTCGCAAAGTATTATTTATTGTTGTTATATAGTATATGTCCTCGAGTAATAACCAGAAACAGAGACGAAATGTCATTTAATTTGTTTGAAAACTATTCTGCCAAATCATTACGGCGACAACTGCGCTCCGATTGGCCAGTCCGAATACGAAATATAATTTCGAATAAAATTTTTTTCTAGACTAGTATTTCAAGACTCTTCATAGTTTTCGGCTTTGTCGGCCGTTCTGTTCCACCCTGTATATATATAGGACTCACCTTAGCGAGCGTAGATATAGCAGTGCCATAATAATCGTGGTTAATTTTGAATATCTCGGAGACCAATTCTGCCAGGCTACCCTGCGTACTGTTAGCTCCATCGACAACATTGTAAATCTGTTTGTTGGCCTCAGGTCTCCTTCCAAGGGTCCAGATGGCGCGGCAGACGTCTTTCACGTGGACTGTGTTCATCTTGAGATCAGCTGTCCATAGGAGCTTCATGGTCTCGCCTAGATGCTTGTATATGCCGCCGTAGAGGAGACGGGGTGCTGGACAAATAAAATACTGGAATTAGTTTAAGGTGAGATATTTGAGGGACTGCCTTTCGCGTCCCGCAATCTGCGCTCTAAAAATAAGAACAGGCGGAGAAAATTTGACATAAATCGGACTTTGACAAGCGCCCGATGGCGACTGACGGGGTCGTTAAACCACTGGGCGATTTCCCAATTTTGGGATAAATATTTATCATTTTGTTATTCATATTAATTTAATAACTATAAGGCTTATTTCTTAAAGAGGGTACGTCATTATTGGTCCCATTTCAATTTGAAGAAAACCTTCCATTTTTAAGGGTGGCAAACTGATAGAATGGCATAAGTGAAATTACGTCAAAAATGTTCATTGCTCCATTGGATTGTAACTCTATCGATTAATATTGTCGATAGAGTTACCAGAATTGGGGAGGACGTAGCTTATATTTTTGTATCCAATGGAGCAATAAATATTTTTGACGTAACTTCACTTATGACATTATTCCATAAGGGGTGTGATGTGTAATAGAGGCCACGCAAAGCCCCTTACTCTATCCTGACACAACTTTCGAGTCTCACATACATCAACTATCCTTTTCATACAACTTCTTCTATTCTTTTCACTTCGAACCCCTTTTTGAGGACATCACTGATCTGGTCAATGTACGTTTTTTTATAAAAAAGTAATAATTATTTAATTATGGAAACACAATAATAATAATATTTTGTTTATTTAATTCACAAACGTAGTTTAAGAGCTGATGAAATCTATGGGACATAATACAATTTCGTGATATCGACTACTTAAGAGTGACTGGGGCCGTGGTAGGTTTGAAAAGCCTGTTTTACGGGTCGCCAGACTCTCACCCCTCGAACAAAAAAACTGTATTTACCAGTATTTACCGTAAATAGCTAATATAAACAAAATGTAAAGGTTTCTTCGTGTGATGGTTTTCGTATTTTTTATCGCTTACACTGCAGAGCTGAGCCGTTTCGGCAACTTAGTTATTTGTGGACCCCATTGCAATTTAGCATCTAGATTTAATTCTAGAGTTATACCTGAAAATATAACTGTATCCATGTCAGAATAACGAAATAGTATACGAGTAATAGCAAAAGCTCCTTGTGAAAGAGTTCGTCCAGGAAACAAGGCCTTACCTATTTCTGCATCCAAGCAGTGATGTCAGCATTACTGTGTTCCGGTTTTGAAGGATAAGGGTGTTGGTGAAATTACAGGCATATTATGGGATTTGTCAAATTATGTGTCAGGGTGACGGGCGCAGTGGCAGTGCCCCTCAATCTTTGCGATTCAAAGCTCTGGGTGGCACTGATATTGTTTTGGACAGGCGTGTAGCTTACCATCAGCCTCACGACTTGTTCATCCCTTCACTTGATATTATAAAATAATAATATTTTGGTGAAATCAAGCACAGATTTTTAAAATGCAAATTTCTACGCTATGTATGGATGTAATTATGAAATTAGCATGTAATCAACTAGGATACGGTACTTGGTTATTACATGATCCATGGACAGATAAAGTTACCTCGTCTGCACATAACATGTTATGTAGTTAACGTTAGGCAGGTGATACTAACTAAGCTATATAATGGAATATTCAAGGTTTTCAAAACAAATTGAAAACAAACATAGACATTTTAACGTCGCTTACGTCGTCATGAATTAATCCTGTTGATTATGAGTTCCTTTTTATAAACCATGGCTGCGGGCAACATTAATATACGGGCTATGACCAAAAATCGAAATAACCAAAAATGTAATAAATATGTAAAAGAGAGCGTAATACCTCACTTTGAAATTTCGGGTTGGTGTAATAAGGCCACATCCGCAAAACGACAACTTTTCAGGACAGAGGTTCAAAGATTTTTAACTTTTTCTTTTTTATTTCAAGTGACGGGACGAACAAGTCATGTGCGTGACGGTAAGCGACACGCCTGTCCATAACAGTTGCAGTGCCACTCAGAGCTTTAAATCGCAAAGGTCTGAAGCGCACTGCCTCTGCGCCCGTCGCACTGAGACATATATAATTAATCATGTTATCTTATGTTATTATTATTACGTATGTTAGTTTATAAGATATGTATTTGTGGGTCGTGTACCAGAGTATAAAAAAAAAAGTGTAACAAGTTTCGACTCACTCAAGCTTCGCCGATCACCGATACCATAAACAATCGCAGGTCGAATGATCGTATAATTCAGCTCTGCCTCTAAGTTCTTCAATTCTTTCTCCACTTTGCTCTTCATTCGTCCTTCCACCGTCCACGGTTCTACGGGGCAGTCTTCTTTTTGTGGCTGCAATAAAAAAGGTTCTTCATAGAGATGCTTTAACCCCGCGCTTTGGTTAAAATCCATTAACGCCCGAAATCGACGGCAGAATTTTTTTTTCAATTTCAACTATTTACAAATAAATATATGTTGTAAATCAAAGTTTTGTTCAAATTGAAATATATTATTATAAAATGTTTATTGCTTCCTGATCTAGACGATTAGATTTGCCTTTCTATTGAGTCGCTTGAAATAAATCGATTTAAAAAATCATTACATCGCATGCACTTGATTCGAACTTCAAAAAAAAAACGAATCCTAATGTTAATCCTTACTAGTGACAATCAACAGGATTACAAAGTGGGTTGGTATTGTGTGGAGTTTCGTTTAAAAAAGATTTTTTATAATTATTAATACAAAGATCAAACACTTAGAAAGAAATACTTCGATCCGGCCGGATTCGAACCGACGTCTTCTAGCAAACCGTGCCAGACCTTCACGAATTTTTCTATGTGCTAGTTGGCCGGATCTTTGTATTTGGTTTTGAACCACATTTTTAGCCGTAGCTCCATCTATGAAAAATCTATGAAAGTATTTCGCCTCCCAGTTAGGTAATTTACATTTTTCTCTAGCTACGGCGTGCAGCCCACGATTTCGGTGTAAACCCGGGCGGGACGATTGAATTTTAACCTACAGCCCATCTCTTCTATAGATATTGAATACAATTTACGTTACAATGATGTTGCAACAACTATACGTTGTTTGGGTAACAGGAGTTAACCCAGATGCATATAATTTAGTTACGTGTACATGTTACAGTTAACATAACTAACTTTTGTGTTGTAACCGAAACAGGTTTAACAATTTAATATTCTAGCTGCATAATATCGTCTAATTTACCCATGGTATATCGCTAATGTAAATAAACGTTATTACACATACCAGCATGTATACGTACATGGGTAATTCTTCCAAAATCTCGAAATTCTTGTCCTTTAGGTTTATAAAAAAAAATTATTTCATTCTTGACAAAAATTAATATTTAATATCAAATTATAATTCAATTGCTACTAATGCCTACATAAAATATTGATTAGTCTATTTAAATAAAAAAATAATAATATAAAAATGTCTCCATAATCATACACTTGCTATGTCCTAAGTTCCATAATGAAACACGTTCTGTGCTTTAAATCAACATATTTAACAAAAAAAACCTTTAAATTTTAAACATTCGATCAAATAAAATATGTTTTTGCAAAATTAAAGCTTTCATGTGGTAAAAACACGATAAATCAATTAAAAAATATATTATTATTCATGTCCCAACCAAAAAAATCATTCCCTCACACATTTACTTTCACGCATTTTTAATCTTTGGAAATGCATTTTATAAGTTTTTGAAAGTTAGCAGCACTGTAAACGTTTCATAATGACGAAATTCAACTTGTGTGTGTAAAAAGGTTCTACTACGAAAAGGTGTAATTTAAAATTCTAAAAGTTACATTTTTGACAGTTATTGCCTCATATGAAGAGAAGTGAAGCATTTGATTTTATTTATTGATTATTCACTCAGACGAGTTATTGGTAGCAGTAAGCTTACACAAAATATTAAGTCTAAAAGTAAGTTTATATCGCTACTTTTCTTTGGTTTATTTTGATTTCGTTATTCCCTTACCCTCAAATATTCCGACTGCCCTATACATTTTCTTAAAAGTAATTTATTTTGAGGACTACTACATCATCAAAAACTATTAAATACGTACTATGAAATTGACAAAAAAAAAAACAATGTCTTCCTAAAAATTTTCATAAAAATCGAAAGCACGAATTTTGAAATTCCATGAGAACTGCCCGCATGCATATCGTAGCATTAGAGCTCCTTGTGGAGGAGTTCGTCCATTTCTGCCGCCAAGCAGTAATATGAGCATTACTGCGTTCCGGTTTTGAAGAGTAGGGATAGCTCTAAATGGCACTGCTAATGGTTATGGATAGGATGAGCTGCCTTTGCGTTGCCAGCCTTTGAGAGCCCTGTGGACTCGTTGATTGAAAAACCCCATGTCATAGCGAAAATACTTAGGAAGGAGACCATTCCACATCCTACAGGTTCGAGGAAGGATGGAACGTGATGCCCGCGAAGTCTTACAATGTCAGGCATCAAATATGTGGGAACGAGCTTTCCTTCCTTTCAGATTTAATTTTGTTGATTTAAAAATGCCAATAATTATTATTTCCCAGATTTAATTATACAAACGTAATTTCAAATAACACTTAAGATATTTTCTGATGAATCGGGGAACTTGGTTGTTCCCGCCTGGTAACTACGGGCGCAGTTTATTGACAGATTGAGAAATTGCTCATTTAAGTTAAAACGTAAAAGCTAAACAAATAGAGCGTACTTTGCCATGACAGTTAGATGCCGCGCGGCAGCATCGCCGCGCGATGGAATTCGTGTCGAATAAATGCCATTACCATCCAAAACCGGAACACAGTAATGCTGACATTCCTGCATGGCGGCAGAAATAGGTAAGGTGGCAGTACTAACCTAACTCTTTCGCAAGAGCTCTACTGTTACCACATGAAATTATATTAATTGTTCAGGGATAAAGTATATTATAGTGTTAGGGAATTTTTTATTAGTATATAAAATAATTTAAATTTATTCCAGTACTTGCGATTATTACTTTTATTAATATGCATATTATTAATGTAATATTGATTACTTACATAATTTAATGCGACCATGCGACGACCAATTTTTGCATGCTTTTGTTTTTTGGCGAAACATGTTTATAGCCACTGTATTAACTTGTTATCTTAACCACTATGTTTGGAGCAAATATTGATTTCATTTGACATGGTATATTAAGAATTACCTTATCACTACTGTGCATCTGCCCGCTGGAGATCTCAACGAGCCTGGTAACTTTGAGTTTCGAGCACTGCTTTGCGACGTTGGAGCTTAGAGTGACGATGCCTTCCGCATACACCGCCTCGCTTTGTCCTACGCGGGTTTCTCCAGCGCAATTTACTACGAGACCCCATGATGAATCGCCGGGGTCTAAAGCTGACTCGCATGATGCTGCAACAAAACAATTTTTTTACATTACCCCGGACCCTCCATACCACGGTCGAAAGTTATTTACCTACTACATACATACAGCAAGGCACTATCTGCACACGCGTAAATGTGTGCGATATGTGGTAGGGTTACCCGTCACTTTCTCGTACAATTACGTTACGTGGTCAGAGCGGCAACATAGCGAAAGTTCTAACGCGAATCTGTTATCCATAATTATATTAATAGAATCCTAATAATTACAAATGTTCACTAGGTATTTTCCCCTTTATCCCATTTAGGTGATGATAAACAGCCGTACACAGCACAATTCACATTTACTCAAATATTTTATTTGCTCGTAAAAATATACATAATTTCAATAAGAAAGAAGATATCCATAATATTAACCTTAGAGCTAAGTCCAAACTCATGGTACCACGATTTCGTTTAACCAAGGTAAACAACTCTTTTATGGGGAACTGTATACGTTTTTACAATAAGATTCCGGAGCATATATTAAGTTCATCATTTCCTAAGTTTAAAAACTACATTAAAAATATTTTGATCGAAAAATCATATTACAAAATTGAAAACTACGTGTTAGATAAAGATGTATGGAAAGACGACATGGCTCCAGAATCCACACAAATTTGATTCAAAGTGTATTCCATAGCATTTAAGTTTATTTGAAAAGAGCAATCCCTAGAGTTTCTTGCTCGTTCTTCTCAGGGAGGTCAGCGTAGTGAACGAGCAGTAGCTTAAATGTGACGTATTCAAGTGTAAATTTATTTTACCTATGGAATAAATAATCTTTGACTTTCACTTTGACTATAAATAGTAACGTACAATGATGTTATATATTAATGCACAAGTTTCGTAATGAATAAATGAAAACAATATTCAAACATCAAAGCCGTCTTAGCCCAAAAACGGCTCGCCGACAGCCTTGTTGTCGTTCAGTCAATGTGACCGTCAATGTGCGGGGCGTGGTGCGGTATCTAAATCTAGGGAGGGGCGGAGAGTGTCCATTCTCGTAACTTTTTTGTTCTCTGCTTATACCAAGTGACAGGACGAACAAGTCGTGCGCCTGGTGGTAAGCGACACGCCTATTAACAACAGTTGCAGTGCCACTTAGATTTAGACATTTTATTCGCACAGATCTGAGGGAAGCTTCCACTGCGCAAGTAATTTCACCACCCTTTTCACAGTGCCTTCTAAACCGGAACGCAATGATGCTCACTATTGATCACATGCTGCTTGGCGGCAAAAAAAGGTACGGTGGCAGAACTTTCCTGGACGAACACTTTCACAAGGATCTCTACTGCTACTAAATAAATATATATATGTATATATATAAATTATTTTAAAAATTATATAAATAAATATTGTCATACCGTTCCTTTTCCGACTATCATATCATTAGGGGATTTTTTAGAGTGAGCAATTTATTATCGGTTTAGAGATCAATCAAATTTTAGGATTCTCACCAGTGGGGTTTTTTTACTGGGGAATTGTGGAACATACCATTGATCGTAGTATAACTTATTTTTTATATGTATGTGAATACAATTCACCGCTATCACGAAACTTTCTTAAATTATGTAGAAACATTACCACAGCCTAAATCTTCGTTTCATAACAAATTGCACTTCGATAAGTAATTATAAAATATAAGCATTATTAAATCCATTTAGGGCGCGTTCCCACTATGTCACAATTTTTTATCGTTGAACGACTGTCGTGACTAGCTGTACCCACTAGATCGTGACGACAATAGGAGCTGCGACAATCTGTCGTCACGTTTTTATCGTGATGTTTTTTTCGTCGTTCTAGCTGTTCCCACTGTGACGACAGTTTGTCGTTGTAACGATAAAAAATCGTGAACGACAGTTAATCGTGTCGTGCTATATGTGACGAAGTTCATTAAAATATACAAGCCACGACACTGTAAACTGCACGACAATCTGTCGTCACTACATAGTGGGAACGCGCCCTAACGTGACTAATGCATCAAATACATTTTTATACATTTATTATCAATTATTCAAGGTTGGTCAATTGCCGATATCAAAATAGAGTACCTTTGTTTATTAGATCGCAAGTAATAGTAGCACCATGAACATAATTAGGTGGTATATTTATTTTTCTCAAACATGCTCTGAAATGTTTGCATTACGTTCATAAAACGAACACGGAAAGTTTGTTATTTATGGACCGTGCGTCCTCTTCCCAAGTATGAAAAACGATTACTGTCCGCTGCTCTAAACTAAATCTATCTACTAACAATGGACAGCTTACTATTTAAAAAAAAAGAAAAAGGCGGTAAAATAATTAAAGTGTTTTAGTACCTACCTATTATTTTCTGCTTTTTCGTCTTTATTGTATTTTAGTTGTGATTATTAGTTCTAGATAGAAGAGCGATAACGAAAATACAGTAATGGATAGTATTCTGTCTAATTTAAAACAAGAGGCAATAATAGCCATGAAAAATTGGTTGCCGGCTATGAGCGAAGTAAGATACATGAAAAGTTATGAAAGTTTCATATACTGGAGACCTACATGAACCACATCATCAGAATATCAGCAGTCTACTATTAATGTGGAAAAGCAGCATTTTCTTTCAGCAAAATTGTCCTAACATGTCAAATGTTATAAATAAATATTTTTTAATTTATTCTATTATACATTTTCCTCGCTTTACTCTGTTATTATTTCCCCACATTGTTTGAGAAAAGCACTATATAAGCCTCGGCGGAAAGGGCATTGCTTGACTCGTATTGATAACCCCAACGATTGTTATATGTATATAAGAAATGGAACTATTTTTTTCGAGTCCTTTATTCTCGTTCTCCGTCGACCAAATGACAAAATCCATGATACGAATGAAGCTTCATTCATCACATCGTTTTTTAATTTAGTTGAGTATTATTTATTTGACAGTATTTTTTTCGGACGTCTGATGAAGAACGAAAGCAGAGAATAAAGAATAAGAGAACGGATACTCTCCGCCCCTCCCTAGTTTTAGACACCACACCACACCCCGCACATTGCCGGTCACATTGACTGAACGACAAAGCCGTCTCGCCGGCGCGAGCCGTTTTCGCGCAAAGACGGCTTTGATATTTGAATATAGTTTTCATTTATTCATTACGAAACTTGTACGTTAATATAAAACATCATTTTACGTTACTATTTATATTGGTCGTGAATTGTGCTCACCATTTTTCGAAAGACGAAACAAGTAAAAAAAAACTTATGTCTGAGACTCATTTCGTTATTGTTGTCTTCATTTATTTACTGCAGAGTAATATATGTACGTATAAAAAATACAGATTTATTATATTAATATAATGAGACGCCATGACTTCGTGAATTTTCTGTTCGTATTGCCGATAAATATTACAAAGATAGTGAATATATCTAATTATTAACTAAACTTGGACAAGCAATTTCAAATACCTAGGTTACCTTACTTAAAAGTACATGTCCGAAATATAACATTTTAAGTGCTTTTAATATATTTTCGGAAATAAATCTTCAATATTACTCTAGTTAGTGAATTAATGAAAAATATAATAATGTATCGATATAAACACCTAATAGATATATGTATCACTATTAGGATTTTATTAATAGAATCATAGATATCAGATTCGCGTTAGAATTTTCGCTATGTTGCCGTTCTGACCACGTAACGTAATAGCGCGAGAAAGTGATGGGTAACCCTGCCACTTCAGATACACATTTGCGCGTGTGCATATTGCGTCTTGCTGTATGTAGTAGTAGTAGGTAAATAATGTTCGACCGTTATAAGGAGTGTCCGGGGTGTGACGAGAGTAGATTCCCAGATTAGCGATGCGCGATTGCGAATGATTTCGATATTGGAATCATTAGTAGGTACCTAATTACTAATCCTGTCATTCGAATAACAAATTAGTAACCCTATTTGGTATCACTATTATCTCTCTAATCCAACTCGAAATCCTTCCACAACTCTTTCACGGTAAGTGCAACTCGTATGTGGAATAAACTGCCTGCTGGCATTCGTGATAGTCCATCAGTGGCATCTTTCAAACACAAATTAAAAGAGCATTACCTGGGACAGCTAATCGCTAACATATGTATAAACTAGCAATTTGTTTAGATTATAATATATATTCTGCTTATGTGTGTATTTATGTATAAAAGTTCGTGTAGGTGTACGTCTGTCACATGTATATATTATCATCATCTCTGAGATCTCTTCTAGAGATAGGTTCACCTTAGTATGTGTCCTTTGTAACTTGTGTTTCATGTGTTTTTTCTTTGTGTAATAAAGAATTATTAATCTACTAATTTTCCGTATTCGAATAATCTAAATGACCATTCATTACTAGTCCATAGGATCCCATAGAGCATTTCTGCCTAGCTCTATTTGACATTATGGGCAAATATCATCAATATAAATAATATGGGATGTAAGGGGGCACACACCATCACAGCTCTTATTGTCAACCTCACCTGCACGCGGTACATCCTGCAGTAACCGACGAGGCTCTGGCGACCGGTAGTAGGCGGTATAGCCCTTCCCCACATTGGCGCTGTCAAATCTGCTGGCTACCGACGGGCAGCAGCGTCGGTAGTACAAAGGCAGCGCCCTGCGATCTCCAACCCGCATGCCCAGCGTGGAGATTATGGGCAATAACCCCCTTCATGGACGGCACAACCAATCGAAGGCCCCCAGTTCCCGGTCGCCCCGCTATTCCTGGTCACGGTAGCGGCCATGGTACCGGCGGGGTAGGGGGTGCTAAGAATCCCCGGGCTACCGCAGGCTACCAAAAAGAACTGACCCTGGCTACGTTTAACGGACGAACTCTTAGGCTTGACGAACACCTTGCACAGTTGGAAGTGGAACTGGAGAACATTAGATGGCATGTTCTGGGGCTGTGTGAAGTCCGAAGAGAGGGAGAGGACACCATAACCCTAGACTCGGGCCATCTACTGTACTTCCGCGAGGGTGATCAAACATCCCAAGGTGGTAT